TGGGCGGGAGAGGGACACGGGGGGGGCCGGGTGAGCCGCGCTCGGGGCCGCGAGGCTCCGCTCCCCCCCGGCCCCTGTAGCGGGGGGAATAGCCCCCGGTGCGCAGCGCTCCCTCCCGGCACCCCGCGCCGTCGGACTGATTTATTTTTTAAAAAATATATATACATATAAAATAATGATAATAATAATAAAATAATAATAAAATGCATGACCCCTCGTGCGCCTCCCCTTTACCCCCTCCCCAGCTCAGCGGGGCGACCGGGAGCCGCGACCCCGTCCACCGAGGGTTCAGCTCCCGGGGACGCCCGGAGCACTCTCCCCGCGGCTCTCCGGAGGGGCTCCACTCCGGCACAGCTCCCGCAGCCGCCGCGCTCACCCGGTGCGCAGCTCCGGCACCGGGAACCGGGCGGGAAGGGACGGGAGCTCCCGGCACAGAGCCGGGCTGCTTCCCAACCACCCACCTGGCCGTGCACGGAGCAGGGCAAACTTTGCCAAATGTATCATATATACATATATATCCACACACACACACACACACACGTACATATGTGCAATAAGCAAAACCTGCCGTGCGTACGCTGGAGAAGCAAATGCTTCTTGTTCTCCCCCCATCCCCCTAAAAAAATAAAATTATATCCAAGCCGAGCGCACGGAGAAGGATGGGGCGCGCCGTGCCCCGGCGCAGCGCCGCGTCCCCCGGGAGGCACCGGCGGTCCCGCGGCCCCGCGCTGTCAGCCCGACCGCGGCGGATCGTGTGATGGGTAAAGCGGAGCCCCGCGACTCACCGGCTCCTCCAACGCGCCGGCTGCGAGACGGAGCGAGGCAATAATTGCGGGCGGTGCGGGGAACAACAAAATCAAGAAATTGGAGATAAAAATATAAAAAGAACCGCCGGAGAAGACGGGGGGAAAAAAAAGGAGCCAAAACGCAGGGAGAACGTAGATCTCTTCCTCCCACCACGATGAGAAAAAAATACAGCGGAGAGAAGGCTCGCCTTCCCGGCGTGCGGCAGATTGTACGGTCCAAGGCGGCGCGGCGCGCTCCGTCCGGTACAATAGAAGTTAAGTTGCTTTCCTCCTTTAAAGCGCCGGCGAGGGGCGGGCGGGAGATGCAGCGGGGGCGGGAGCACGAGCGGCACGGCGGGGCCCCGCGAGTGCGCGCTCCCGCCGTGCGCGTCGCCGCCTCTTCTCCCTCCCGCTCGCCCCCGGCTCCGCGCGGGCTCCGTGCGCGGGGAGGGCGCGCCGCGAGGGGGCGGCCGCGGGGCTCCGTGCCCCCCCCGGGCACTGCGAGCCGGAGCTACGCGGGCGAGAGGGAGGGAGAGGAGCCGGGGAGAGGCGATGCGGAGCAGCGGTTGTTTTTTTTTCTCTTACTACAAGGAGAGGTCGGAAGTAAACATAGTAAAAAAAAAAAAAAAAAAAAAACAACGAGAGGGGATAAAAAGGGCGCTCCTCGCAGCTTCCTTCCTCCCTCCCTCCTCGATCGCCTCTCCCTCTCCGCCCGCTGCCCCCCGACAGCAGCAGGGGAGGTGGGAGGTTCACCTTCCGTGTCCCCCCGTAACGCGGCTGCGGGCGGGGCGGTTGCCGGCTACTGGCACAAAGGAGCGTCCGTGGCTCGCTCACCCCCGCCCGTGTCGCTGTTTCGTTGTCCCAGAGAATTAAACGGGAGGAAGAGGCTGCCGGAGGAGGGGGGGCGGCGGCTGCAAGGTGACCCCCGGGGCTCTGCACCTCCTCCCGCTCGCTACGCAGCCCCCCACCCAGCGGCTCCTTCCCCACCCGGCTCACCCCTTCCCCGCTGCCAATCCCCAGAGGTGCGCGGAGCCGAGACCCGACGGAGCGCTCCACATTCGCGTCTGTCCGGCCCCGCGCGACCGCTATAATATATATATTAGCAGGGCACCCTGCTAATATACATATAAATATTATTCCTATTTCTCATTTATTTCTTATTTATTTCTTATTTATTTTTTCAGCCCCCACACACCAAGGGGACTTGTATTTGTATTATTTCTAAGCGCAGAAGCACTTAGACTCCCACATCCCCCTCCCTATCCATCCCCCGGTGCGGCTCCCCAGCGCTGGGGGCGGCCCTGCTTTCCCACGGCCGCCGCTACCGTGGGGCCATCGCGCCCTCTCCCGGCGCCCGATCGCGCCCGCGGGATGCAGAGCGCAGCCCCTGCACGGCACCTGCGTGAACCCCTCCCGGAGAAAAAAATACTACATACATATTTTTTAAAACCTTCCCCCCCCCCCCCCCCCCCTTTTTTTTTTTTTTTTTTAAGTGGAAATCTCCCATTTCCGCTGAGCAGCGGAGTGTTTGCAGCCACATTCCGCTCCAAGTGCAGTTTGCAGCGCGTTCTGCTGCAGTTGGGTAGCAAAGAGGGACAGATTCATGAAAACAGCAAGAAGGGATCAGCAACTGGGGAGCACTGAGCAGTCCCAAGGTGGGTGCTTCACCCACTGATATTTTAAACACCTTGCTCCTAGGTGGCTTAAAATACGTCATGCTGTTTTAAAATGCTACAACTCTCTGTAGAGGACTTTGCTGGTGTGACTGGAAATAGCGTGGCTGAAGGACTCTGCCAGAAAGGGGCAGGATGTGAATTGATCCAGTTCTACCCAGTGTAGGGTTTGTAGGGATGCCACCAGAAAGAAGGAGACATATTCCTTAGGAGGGTCTGTTGTGATAGGACATGGTGAAATGGCTTCAAACTAGGACAGAGAAGATTAAGACTGGATAGAGAAGATTAAGACTGGATATTAGGAAGAAGTTTTTAAAATAAGGGCAGTGAGGCACTGAAACAGGTTGCCCAGAGAGGTGGTGGATGCCCCATCCCTGGATACACGCAAGGTCAGGCTGGATGGGACTCTGATCAAGCTGTAGATGTCCCAGCTCATTGTAGGGGAGTTGGACTAGATGGCCTTTAAAGGTCACTTCCAACTCAAACCATTCTATGATTGTTTTACCCATTTAAGAACAGCATCAGAATCACACAGTAATGCTTTCAGAGCTGTAAAAGTCATTGAAATTCAGCTGGAAAGAGCAGAAATACTTCAGAATTACTCCAGTACTCATAGGGTTGAAAATCATCATCCTGTGCTGCAATATAATTGTATGCAGAGAAACTAACTGCTGTATCACAGAGCATTATGGCTTGAAGCGAGGACTGCAAAACATAAGCAGATGGACTCCTAAAGTACCCTGTGTTCATCTGAGTGGAAAAACGAGAAAGGAGGACTGGAAGAAATGTGCTATTGAAACAGCGTGGCCTTCATAGGTATTTAAAATGTTCTATAGATTTCTTTAGGTCTTGGAGGTCTTCTTGAAGAGTCAATGTTGAGGTCCCGTCCTCACGTGGCAGAACAAAGATATTTTGCTCTTATGTCCAAGCTCAGAAAGAACACAGGGATAGGTGTGAAAACAGTAAGTATAAATCTCCAGTAAAAGGGCATTTTGACAAAATAGCTGTTATACAGGAAGAATAAATATGCAACTATAACGTTAAGGAGACAGCAGAGTCAACATGATTGTTTTGACATCGGGGATTCTCATGACAAATAGGAGGTGGGAGGGTGGAACTGATGAATGATGGCACATCAGGAGCCTGCGAGCAACAGAAATGAAAGCAAAAGTTGAGAGTGAAGTAGAGATGGTGGAAAAACCTCTCTCACCTCTCTGTGGCTGGAAAACCCTGAGACAACTCGTGATGTCACGCACGGCTGTGTCACCTGCTGCGTGTCATATTTCCAGGGGACGTCTGTAATCCCCTTTCCAGTGGGCAAAAAGCTGCCTGAAAATTGTGGCTATCTTCAGAAATTGTCACTTCACCTCCTCCCCAGCAACTCTCCAGTGAGTTGCTGATCTTCCACTGGTGAGAATGGGAAAGCGCTAATGAGGTATTAGTACTGGAAAGTGCTAATGACTTGGGTGGGAGGTTTACTCCCTAGAATGTGGTCTTTTGTGCTCAGAGTCACTGAGATCAGCTGGGGCACCTGT